TGAAAGAAAATAGAAAAAAAAAAAGATTTATGTATATGTTAGGTTAGGGTTAGGGTTAAGGTTTAAATATTAAACATAATTAAGAATTTAATTAAGGATAAAAAATTGAATAATTAGGGAAAAATTATTTACAAATAATACATAATAATAACAATAACACAACAGATATTAATTCAAAAGTTTTCACTACATCAAGTAAATTTTTAATTATCAAAATTATTTAAATAAATATAAAATTAGATTTTAAACTCGTAGAAAATTCTAGAAAATTGAAAAAATACAAATACTCTTTTAAAAATAATAATTTAATATTTTAAATACCAAAAAATTTATTTTAACTAGTATTAAAAATTCATGGTCATTATATTTTACCCCCCTTAAAACAAATTCCGCCCTCAGAATTAAAATAAGGGTGGTGCATAAGAAAAAAAGGATACAATATAAAATGAGAGACTCAATTCAACTCATATAAAAAAAAATTTAAAATATACTGCATATCCATAAATAAGAGAAAATCATACAAGAACGATAAAAATAAGATACAAGACATGACAGCTAAGATTCAGGAAATAGATGAGGGTATCGCTGTCGCCTCTCAGACTCAGTTCCCAAGTCGACTCTCCAGGAGAATCTGGATGCCACATCACATGAACAAGTGGAACGGGCTTGTTCCGGAGGGTTTTCTCCATTCGGTCCAAAATCGCTACAGGTTGCTTCTCGTATGTCAAATCAGGTCGCACCTCAATCTCCGAGAAATCTACGACATGACTCGGATCTCTGACGTACTTTCGCAATTGAGAAACATGGAATACGTTATGCACTCTAGCTAAGACAGGTGGTAATGCAAGTCGGTACGCTACTTCTCCAACTCTTTCTAATACGTTGAAAGGTCTCACATATCGTGGACTCAACTTCCCACGCCTTCTAAAGCAAATGGTGCCTCGGTTAGGGGAAATCTTCAAGAACACATGATCTCCTTGCTGAAACTCCAAGTGTCGGTGCTTCGCATCCGCCCAATGTATGAATATGTCCTGCGCTATGTGAAGTCATTCCCGAATGATCCTGACAGCATCAATTAACTTGTCAATCAACTCCGGTCCAAAAATCTCTCGCTCACCAACATCGTCCCAACTCAAAGGAGAGCGGCACTTCCTCCCATACAATACCATGAAAGGGGTCATTTCAATGCTAGTCTAGAAGCTATTATTCTATGCAAACTCTACCAAATGCAAGTGATCTTCCCACAACCCGTGAAAGTCAAGCATACAAGCTCTAAGCATATCCTCTAAAATCTGAATGGTCCTCTCCGACTATCCATCAGTTTGAGGATAATAAACTATGCTGAAACTGAGACTGGTCTCAAGACTCACCTGTAAACTCTTCCAGAACTCTGAAGTAATCGGGTATCACGATCCGAGACGATGCACAATGGAACTCCGTGCAATCGCACGATCTCCTACAATACTAGAGATTCACTAACACTCTTGAAAAAGGAACTCATTAAAATATATAGAGATAAATATTTTACCTTCATATATCTCTGAGCAAGATGCTCCATCGACTGTCCTACTTGGAAGGGAATGAAGTGAGCTGATTTGGTTAATCGATCTATGATCACCCAAACAGCATCATTCTGTCTAGTGCTCTGAGGTAATCCAGTAACAAAGTCCATGGTGACATGTTGCCACTTCCATTCCGGAATAGGCAACGGCTACAAAAGACTTGTGATCCGCTGATGCTCTGCCTTCACCTGCTGACATACAAGCACTTCGCCACACTACGAGCCATATCTCTCTTCATACCACGCCACCAAAAGTTCATCTTCAGATTCTTGTATATCTTTGTGCCTCCAAGGTGAATAGAGTACGGTGAGCTATGAGCTTCCCGTAATACCTCCTCTCAAACATCTCCTTTTGGTACGCAGATACGACTCCCAAATCATAAGGATTCGTCCTCATGAACAACAAATTCCAGCCGAAGACCAGCCACTGCTAACTCTCTGCACTTCTGAAGAAATGAGTCACCTAATTGCTCAACCTTGATTCGCTCAACCAATGTCAACTGAATCTAAAAATGAAGTCTCCACTAAGCCGTGAAGGTCATGATCGTCGGCAAATGACTCAAAGCATATGGTACTACATTGACCTTGCCAAGGTGGTACTAAAGGTCAATGTCGTAATCTGCCATCAGCTCTAACCATCAACGCTGTCTTATGTTGAGCTCCTTCTGAGTAGATATGTACTTCAAGATCTTGTGGTCAGTGAACAGCTTCACTTGCTGTCCCAACAAATAATGCCTCCAAAGCTTAAGAGCAAAAATCATAGCTACCAACTCTAGGTCATGGGTAGGGTAATTCTGCTCATGCTTCTTCAACTGACGAGATGCATACGCTACCATATAACCATTCTACTGGAGAATGCATCCCAGTCCTCTGCCAGATGCATCACAGAACACCTCAAAGTTTCCACTCTTATCTGGTATCGTCAAGACCAGGGCCGAGATCAGTCGAGACTTTAACTCCTTCAACGCCTGCTCACAAGCGTTGGACCAAACAAATTTAATATCCTTCCTCGTAAGTTGCGTGATCAACTCTGCAATCTTTGAGAAATCCTTGATGAAGCACTAGTAGTATCCAGCTAATCCTAGGAAGCTCTTAATCTCGGACACCGCCTTATGGGTAGGCCAATCCTTAACAGCAACTACTTTCTCCGGGTCTACCGATATGCCGTCTCCTAACACCATGTGTCCTAGAAATGCAATGCGATCTAGACAAAACTAGCACTTACTATACTTGGTGAATAGCCGATGCTCTCTCAAAGTCTTCAACACGTACCGCAAATGCTCCACATGCTCCGCTTCACTCTTAGAGTACACCATGATATCATCAATAAAGACTTCTACAAACTTATCCAACATATCATAGAACACCAGATTCATCAGGTTCATGAATGTCGCCGGTGCATTAGTCACACCAAACGGCATTACTAAGAACTCATAATGTCCACATCTCGTCCGGAACGTAGTCTTGGGAACATCAGAGTCCTTGACCTTCACCTGGTGATATCCACTCCGCAGATCCAGCTTAGAAAATACTCTTGATCCTCCTAATTAGTCAAATATATCATCGATATAGGGAAGAGGATACTTATTCTTCACTGTCACAGCATTCAACTCTCGGTAGTCGATGCACATCCGCTTGGACCCATCCTTCTTACCCACAAGCAACATAGGTCCTCCCCAGGCCGACACACTGGGTCGTATCAAGCCTCTCTACATAAGATCATCCAACTGAGTCTGAAGCTCAGCTAACTCAGCCGGAGGCATACGATAAGGGGTCTTGGAGATCGGAGCAGTTCCAGGCTTCAATTCTATAAAAAACTCAATTGCTCGATCCAGTGGCAACTCGTAAATGTCATCAAGAAATACATCTTCAAATTCCTGAACTACAATTGGCTTCTCGGGTTCCACCTGCATGACAGCAAACGTCGCCTTCTTTGGTCTAGCTCTGTACTCTATCGGTCCAGCCGATGTACTGCCACTAAGGAATTCAAACCTCGGTTGATCCGGTATCTCAAATACTACACTCCAACAGTGACAATCAATGGTGGTAAAGAATGACCCCAACCAATCCATTCTAAATATTGCATCGAAACTCGACAAATCAATCACCAGGAAATTTGCAAAGAGCTCTCTTCCACTGATGACCACCGGACATGCTTCATAACCACTGCATGCTACTAAAACACCACTGCCAGTGCTGATATTCCAGCCCGTAGTCAGAGGAGTTATAGGAAAAGAGTGGGTACTTGCAAATCGTCGAGACAAGAAATAATGGGAAGCTCTAGAGTCAAAGAGTGATAAAGCAGGAACAGAAGAAATAAGAACCTTGCCTATTATGGGAGGAGGTAAATGCAACTAAAATTAGCACTCATAAACAAATCCTAGTATGATATCATCAGGTAATGCTAAATAAGGAAAAAAATCATATGCAACTAAAACTAAGAATGAACAGTTCTTACCAGTGATAACCTGGTCGTTCGCCTTAACTTCCACAACTGACATCATGAATGTTTGACACGGTGGTTGTTGCCCCTGCGCTTGCTGAAAAAACTACTTCTGAGGAAGAAGAGGCCTAGATCGAGGATAGGGTCCCTACCGAGTCAGTGCTACTGGAGCAGGTTGAGGTGGAGTTGGAAGAGCTGCCCGAACTAGAGGTAGGGGCAAGATAGCATACTGTTGATGTGGACAGTCCCAACTGATATGGCCAGGGGACCCACAATTGAAGCATAGATGAAGATGCTTGGGGCACTCTTGCTGGGTATGCCCAGCATGGCCACAATAGAAACACTTCGCTGTAGGCTGGCTGCGAGTCTGCACTCCAAGGCGCTGATAGGGGTGGGCCTGAGGAAGTGGCTGACGCTGAGAAAACTGCTACCTTTGCGGATTCTGTTGCTACCTCGGAGGGGGGTGCTCAACATTCCTGGCTGGAGCTACTGGTGTTCTACTCTAAACCACATGTGGATCTTCAGGTTCCTTCTGAACACTCTTGATCTCACGCGCTACATCCAGTACGGCATCATGAGTCGTAAGTGCTCTACCATAAGAGCCAACCTAATATACTTATCCAGACCCTTCTAGAACTGATGCCTCCTAATAGCAGGGTCGGTAACCAGGTGAGGAGCGTATCGACTAAGGGAGGAGAACTCAGCTTCGTACTCATCAACTGATCGAACTCCCTACTTGAGCTCGACAAATCTACGCAGAAGTTCATCCCGACCTGACTAAGGAAAATACTTCATGTTGAAGCGCTCCATGAACGTCTCTCACAGGATTGGCCTCTCAAGATGGGTCTTCTCAGATGCCCACTAGATTCGTGCAGTATCAGTTAGCTGAATATCCATAGGATCTACCCACTCTACAGGAGCAGTACGGGTCACCGTGAGGATGGTCTCGGTAACCTTCAGGAACTCCTCTGCTGCTAGAGGCCCTTCAGCACCAGAGAAGGAAGGAGGTCGCATATATCAGAGCTCCTTAACACCAGACTTTGTGCGAGGGGGAGGCTAGTAATGAGGCTCCCGCTACAAGTGCCCAGCCAAGAACTGCTGATTCGCAACCAATCCATGAATTATCACCAAAAGTTGGTGCGTGTCCATTTCAGACGGTGGGGCACTACTACCGGACGTGTTACCATTGCTACTTGTACCCACCATGGTTCTGAAGGAAGGTGAGGATCAAAAGGAAAACTAAGGTCAAAATCAAAACTAAAATTGAGAAAAGTAGGAACTAAAACATAGTTAGTAAGATAATAGAATAAGGGCTTAAGTATAGTCTCATGGATAAAATATGATACGCATCTAAGTTGTCCATTATATTCTCACTGGTAGGAACTCGGGACCGGGACCTGCATGGGCCACCATAAAAACCTATCACACCCCGCTTCCCAAAACACTAGGGAATCAGAACGTGAATAAGCTCGCAACGTATTAGATTAAGGAGAATAAATAAAAAATCATTTCTTCTCAACCTAATACGCTAAGCGTCAAGCAATATACAATGTGAAGTTACAGGTCCCCGATCACAATTAGCAAGAATATAATAAACAACCCGGAATAGAAAAGAGTCATATCATAAATAGAGTATCATCCGGGACACAAAGTTTGGGTTAACCATGCCCTTATTACAAAACAGTCCAACTAAAACTATGAAAATACATACTCTAACAGAAATAAGAAAGAAGTACTGCAAAAAAAAACTAAATCCCTCAAAAGACTAAAAGAGAAAGTACTACATACGTAATCTAGTGTCCATCAACAACTACAGGAAGAAATGGCTAAGCTTCAGTTTGTTCTCCTGTTCCATCTGGAAGACACACCGGCTGGGCATACTCCGGCTCTAATGCATCATCATATAGGACCTGTCCGTCCTCTAAATCTGACGTACACCCGAGATAAATAGGAGTATGTTAGCATGCATGGCACACGACAAGATCCCACAAGGGAAAATAGAACAGTCGAATGACAAATACAATAACCGATGCAACAACAGAAATGAAAATAGAACGTGTAACTAGAAATCTAACAAATCGAAATGCAATCCACCACTAAATCATAATAATCATAAGAATCTAAAAATCAACTGGGTAATAAGAGTTGGTAACTAATCATCCTATAACAGGTCACTGATCCACATCTCATATAGAGTCAACATTCATATTACTAGATAACTGACTATTCACAAATCCCCTACGTGCATCCAATCCCGCTACACATGCGGCCAGAGGACTACACACAATCTGTTTTCAAGCATGGTACGAACTCAATCTAAACTCAAGCGACGAATTAAATTCCCACAGACCAAAGTGAGTACACGAGTTCACTTTGGCCTAACAAACCAACCCCAGTGAGTACACGAATTCACTGGTGCTAGCCTGGAAGATATATCAACAGTCTTATCCGATCACATGAACCAAGACTCCCTCATCCCAACTCTTCTCATTTTTCTAAGTCAATAATCATAACCTGAACTAGATCTCTGGTTCACCTCCTAAATTTAGTCAACGTACACACACATGTCACTAAGTCTTGTTCATAACGCACAAGACCACTTAGTCATGAACTACTAATGGTTCTCAAACACAATAAGGAACAATAAATGCAGCTAATCTATGCAAATAAAATATGGTATGTCACGTAATTAAAATAAGAATCATGGAATCAGCGGATAAATTGCACATAAAATATCGCGGTCAATAACCATCAATCACACGACCATAAACTAAATTAATTCAAAATAAATAATCTTTTTACAAAATAAATTCCTTTCAAATTATCTCTTACCTTAATTATTCTAAAAATAATCTCTTAAAATAATAAATTTATAAATTCAAAATTAACCTTTTTTACAAGATAAGTTCTTATTAATTCAAAATAGTCTATTTTCCCAAAATAATTTCTTTTCAAAATATTTATCATTCTAAAATGATTTCCTTCCACAAAATAAATTCTAAAAATATTATAATTATTCTAAATTAATCCCCATGTTAAAATAAATTCTTTAATTTATTATAATTATTATAAAAATACTAATTATCACATAATTAGAATTTATTTAATATTATTCATCAAACCCACACAGATAATTATTAACAGATCCAAAATTCTAATAAAAAACAGTAAAAAAATTGTAAATTCGCACGACAAATATAAGAATTGCCATAAACTAATATAGAATCAGAATCTTACGCACAATTAACAAATCTTAAACTTGTACGAAATAATAAACGGGGAAAAATAGGGATCTTGCACATAATTACTTTATGATAGATCTAAAATTGTACGGAATTAAATAACGGGAACATGGATCTTACGCCTAATAATTTTTACGATAATCTAAAAAATTAAAATAAACAATAATCGATGTTAGAGATCTTGCCTACGTGGCCTAGGGGTTGGTAGACGAGGCGGAGGCATTGAGCGGAGCTGCTCTTGGTATCGGCACGTAGCAGTCAGAGTTCGCGTGGAGAGACGGACGACGGTCGAGCGGCGGGGCTAGTTGAGGGGGTGACGATGGCGGGCGGTGGCTGGTCGGCACAGGATCTGGAGGAGGCGACAGGGAGAGGGAGAGGTGCTGGGGTTGAGGTCAGCGGGCGGCCGAGCGGGTAGAGGCTGCAGGCGTACGGTGCGCAAGGGGAGATCGATAGCGGTGGTGGCTGCAAATCTGGGGGTGGTTAGCGGTTGACGATGAGGGGTGGCTGTAGGGGCATAGAGTGTGACGGTGTTGGTGGATGGAGTGGGAGAGGAGCAGGAGGTGGCTTGGTTGCGTGGGCGGGTGCGGCTGAGGGAGAAACAGAGGAGAAGCGAACGCGTTTGAGGGAGGTCGGACGGTGAAAGAGAGAGAGGAAAGAGAATGATATTCTTGAGAGAAGAGACTACAGGGAGGGGGGCTTGGTTCACGTGAAAGAAAAGAGAAAAAAAAGATTTATATATAGATTAGGTTAGGGTTTAAATATTAAACATAATTAAGAATTTAGTTAAGGATAAGAAAATTGAATAATTAGGGAAAATTATTTACAAATAATACGTAATAATAATAATAACACAACGGATATTAATTCAAAAGTTTTTACTTCATCAAGTAAATTTATAATTATCAAAATCATTTAAAAAAATATAAAATTAGATTTTTAAATCATAGAAAATTCTAGAAAAATCGAAAAAATACAAATACTCTTTTAAAAATAATAATTAAATATTTTAAATATCAAAAAAATTATTTTAACTAGTATCAAAAATTTATGATCATTATAATAGTTTTATGGTCCCACCATCCTATTGGAAAGAATTAGTGGAGGAATTTAGAGGAAGTGACTATAAGAGGTAATCATTAACATGATAGTATTTTGGTAAGAGGCCAGATGCTCGTGTCTAACTTCGAACTCACCTTGGAGTTGATTTATGATGATCTTTGGGTCGTCATGGCTCCGTCAGAGAGAAAGTTTGAGGTAGTACATAGTTTTGCAAAGAAATTGAAACTACCCTCACTCTAGCAATAATCAGGATTGAAGGATAAAGACTCCAGCATCCAATAAAGCTTGGATCTTATCCTTCAGAATGTAGCATTTAGAGGTGGGATGATGAACCATCCTATGGTACGCACAATAGTTGGGATTATCCATTCTTGACATCTCCTCAGGACGCATCGATTCTGGGAGCTTGATCTTTTTTGCCTTGATTAAGGATTTGAATATCAGGATGACTTACTCATGTTAGAAGTCATACTTTTGCTGAAAGCGACTATCTGAAGATTTTTCCTTCTGCTTTGACGAAGATTTAGGGGAGGAAGTGGTTTTCACTGCCAAAGTAACTTTCCTTTTTACATAAGTCAGTGTGGTGAGGTTTTTTTTGATCCTCATCTCTCTCACTATGATCGCCATCTTCTGTAGGGTTAAAAAAGTTTGATTGATTTCTTTAATTTGAAGAATTAAGATTCGATCACTCTATACGAATCTATTACAATCACTCTCTCTTAATTACAGAGGAAGAAAAGTTTTGATTTGACTTCTCTTTAATTTAATATGGGTTATTGGTGGCGAAAAGACGCTTCTCTCGATGCTCGTGCCGAGATTACTTCTCATTGACGATCAGAATAAAATTGCTGAAGAGTTTGGATTGGTGCTATAGATCTCTAAATGCTCTTTGAGCACGTAGATTGATCTTTGAAAATTCCCAAAAGTCTCCCTTAAAGTCTAAGTCTACCCCTAATAGCTGCTCGAGGCTATTTATAGGAGTTTAGCAAGTAACTAACGTGCTAAAGTCATGGGAATGTGGGCATA